AAAAAAAAAATTATTGTGAATAAAGAGAAGTGGCTTCAAGACCAGCACTCTCAATGCTGAACACCACACTAACATTATTCTTAAGAAAACTGGAGTACCAATGTGCTGAAAGCTTAGGCGTTCTATGCCGTTTCTCATCATCAAAATCCACATGGTAGAGTCCAAATCCTTTTTTGTAGCCACCCAAGAACTCATAAACATCAAGAAAAGACCAAACAAAGTATCCTCTAACTTGTACGCCACTCCTGCATTTTGATAAGAAAAAAAGTGTTTAAAATTTAATGCACTGTTTTCTTAAGTCAATTTTTGTAACAATAATGCTTTATAGGTAAAAATGCAGCACTACCTGCTGGCTTCAAGTGTGCTTCCAATGTAACCTTCTAAGTATGCAATCCTCGCTGTATCATTTAAAACGTTTTCAAGTCCAGCAGCAAAGCCTAAAAACAGAAACACGGATGAGGTGTTAGATGAGTAATGGTTTATTGTATGATGCTGCAAATCCTTTTATATTTATAAATTACTTACCATTCTCATGGATGTAAATTGGAGGATTCCCATACTTCTCCTTGAGATAATGCAACATCTTCTCAAGTCCAGAAAAATCTTCTGGAACACGAGTTGGTAGAAACTGGTACAAGAGACAAGTTCACACATTTCAACGCAAGGATGCCAAATTCTAGTGAGGATTAAGAAATGAAAGCTGCTTACTAACCGGGCCCATGGTTGGTGGATCATTCTTATTAACTGCGAGAGAATTTTAAAGTATTTCCATTTTCAATATCAAGAAGTGCAAAAATTTTTAACAGAAAAAAACACCTTTTCTGGAAAAAGAGTACAAAACCTCGCATGATGGCAGCCATATCTGCTTGGAAACCACTAGCGCCTGCCTTGGAACTATTGGAGTTATCACTGATGTACCCTGATGCATAATAGTTTATAGCCATAAAGTCGAATGAGCCCTTTAATACTTCTGACTGAGAGTTGGTAAATGAAGGCAGCCTTGTGCTAGCAATACTCTTCATCAGCTCAGGATAGTCTCCAATTGTTACTGGACTTAGAACCCTGCATTTCAAGTAGTCAGGCTATAAAATTATGTTGACTTTTATTATATTTAGGTGTTATCTTATTGCTAAAGAGGAATTATAAATTCAAACCACTGTTGTATTAGCCTATTTATGTTCATAGTCTAGACTTCTAAACACAGACAGTTGCTTCAAAATAATAGTGTATGATAACTACTGTGCCATTTACCCACAATAGCATACAAGTACAATATCATGATCTGACTTCATAATTTCTGCCCTTTATTGGCAAAGTCAAGTTAAAACTCACCAGTCAAACATGAAGCTCTTTACTCGTAATGTCGCTTCAAGATCCGCAGAAGAGTTTGAAAATGGTTGGCACCAAAAAGAATAAATATTCAGTCCAATCCAGCCCCCTTGATAGCGCTGTTTGTGAACAGATTTGTCATTGCTATAATATTCATGAAAATAAGAATTGAAGATGCTACATTGTCTAAGAAGTAAGGAACTAATCATCCTCAACTATTTACACGATTAAAAGTTTGCCAAAAAAAATATTGAAAATTATATATCTCTTGGCAGAACAGAAACTTGCAGAAGCCAGAAGTGTAATGTTACTGGTTGCCTTCGTTATGTTTCTTAGCATATTAAATATCATGCTCAAAATATAACAAAATATACAATTCCCATTGCATTTATTTATTTATTTTAATAAATTTTAGTGTTATTGAGATAAGAAAGACACCTGATATTTTGTTCTGTATAGTCTAACAGCTTCTGAATGTGCTATTAGCATATTGTGAACCTTAATGTATATCCAATCTGCTGAACTGTCAGCATAGCAATTGATGGTTTCAAATTTTGGAGAACACCAAGAGTGCGGGACGAAATCACCCGTTAACCCAATTATGTTTGGCTCAGTAATGGTGGTCCAGTGAGAGACCTTACTGCCAAATTCCCTGAAGCATACATCTGCAAATTCTTTGAAATCCTTGCTGCACAATTTCAAAAGAGGAATGATCATGCTACTAAATCTGTGTTATGTTCTTGAAGTTTTCAGTGGTCATGAATTTACACAATCTTAGGGCTTAGCCATCCTCCATACTCATCTTGAAGAACCTGTGGAATATCAAGATGATTAAGTGTAACATGCGCCGGAATCCCTGTAAGGTAACATTCAAGTTAGATAAACTTTGTATGCAATTGATCAAACTACATAAGTTCGTTGATTTAAATTATTTAAGCATAAATGTTGTGGGTGGTTTTAAAAAATTGAAATTAAGAGAAAAAGAATAAGCTCAACAACATGAATCCTAAGAAATCCTTTTTGTAATTTTTGTATGAAATTAAGTTTTCATTT